TATTTATGTCTAGTAAAAATTACTGGATATAGTATAATTTTTTTTATATATTAATTTTTTAAGACCTTATTAAAGCATTCAATTAATATATTTATACTTGGTTAATATTACTAGAAATATTTTAATTTTTTTTAATTTATGAATATTTAAATAAAGTACTAATGTTTATTAAAGCAACTATTTACTATTAAATAAAGAAAATAACTGGTTTATAAATTATTTTATATTAACTGATTTATTAAATTTGTTACTAATTGAATAGAAATCATTCTAAGTGTGTTCCTAATAAGTTTATTATTAATAAGAAATATCTTACTGGGTTACTTAATAGCAAATAAATACTTTCAGAATTTAACTTTTTAATAAGATCCAGAAAAAAAACATGCACGTGTGTTCCAATATACTATATACTCTTCGCGTAAAGTTAATCATATCCACTAATATTAGCTTTTAACACCTAATCAATTAATAAAATTTAGATTAATTATATTATGAATATATTGTAAAAATAAATCTTATCAACTTTGTCAAACTAGTTTTGAAATTAATATCAGAGAATTGACAAAGTAAATAATTTTGACTACCTCGACGACACTAGTTAATCTATTTATGTATATCAATTAACCTGTTTATTTGTTTGATAATGAATTTTTGAGATTTTGTGAATAAAAGAAACATAACGTATAGATTTATAGTACTGATGGGCACTGAATATTAATCAGAGCTACTGAACTATTTAAAGATGCTTATTTGAGTTGAACAAACACATTTACCTGTAAATAATTTTATACATAATTAATCTATTTATATTATATGCGGTTTGCGAAATAAAGTAATAATTCATAAATGAAACATTCCGTATTTTTTTTTTAATTTGAACCGAACACTCAAGTGATTAAACAGAAACTAATGGGAAAATTTCTGATGAAGTGGATTTCAATGTAGTTCATAATAGAGAACTGGTCACTAGAGTTTAAAATATAATAATTTCAGTTGGTTAGTTGCGAAAAATAAAATCGATAAGGAACAATTTTGATACACCCAATATAGCAACGTTATAGTATTCCGATGGTTTTATTCAACAATCAGAATCTGAAGCATTTCATATTTCCATTTATACGTCATAGAAAACGGGACAGAAATCGGTGGTTAAGTTTATATATGAATACGCACATTGTACATACGTCAAAGAAAAGTGATCATTTTACTTCTCCAACTAGAGTCTAAAGTTTTCCTTGTCATTTGTTCATCTGTTCCAAAAAACCAAAATGAAAAACAACAGAACGTGAGACAAGTCTTGATGGGGATATACTTACTGTTGGTAGATCGGGTTAAGCTGATCATTGTACTCGCTTAACCACAATTGATCATTTTATTGTCTAACTATACTTTTAAGCGTTTTCTACCTCCATTGTTGCACAAAAAGAAAAGAAAAGCAATAGCAATCAATGTGAGATAAGTTTTAAAGATGATAAAGTCTCTGTAGCAATCTCATAATTAATTTATCATTATGTTTCGCTAACTAGAGTCTAGAGTCTTAAACTTGAGTAAGAGAAATTGAATAATAGTTTTCGAAATACAATCATGTATCCAATTAATCTACTTAACCAAACTACTGCTGTAATTTATTTCAATTTATGCTTAAATATCTCAAGTATGGAAATGCAAAAACTACTAATGTTATGAGTCATACACAGTGTGTTTAAATTATGCCCAAGGTGAAAATGTTTATAATATAAACAGGTGTTAATATCTTGTAAGTCCAATATTACTCAATATACAAAATTAAGAATTTGTTGAATACAATAGTAGTAGTAGTAAAGAAATTTATAGATTGATATAATTATATATATAAAGCTTACAGCTGTAGCAATTTTGGGTACATTCAAATATACAATATATAGTACATGTTATATAATACATATCACAGGACTCTCCAGACGATCACGGGCCACTACAAATCACTGTGTAGATTGGAGAACCGCAGAAGCAAGTACATACGTCAATGGTTCTTTCGGAGAAAAATACTAATATTGTGATAATGTTAAATTCACTTTTATTCATTTATTCATTTGAATTTAATTTTTGGTGTACCATAAAAATAAAATAATGTGATTTTACCAAAACATATCAGGGAAAAATTTGCGTAATTGTGATGGAATAGAAACATGTCATGGGCCGCACATATCTTATTCGCAGACCGCATGTGGCCTGTGGTCCGTTATTTGGACAGCCTTGTTATATATTATATATATATAACATATATATAACATATATATAATATATATAATAACAATAACATATATATAATATTACATATTATTATATAAGATAACTGTTATTAAATTATATTCAAAAATTGATTATTTTTTTATAAATGTAATGGCGTTAATAAACGTTATTCATTCTTCTCTGCAGACTGCAGACTTCAATAACCTCTTTATGACATAAGCTTTTTCTTATTGCGTTAATTTATATAAATTTTATTATTATATAAATATTTTGTAAAGCAATAATAATTAAAAAAATGGTTATTGATGGAAAGCAACAATAAATTTAATTAGAACGAAAACGCATTTAAGCGGTTTCAAGGTCTTAAAGTGATGTAGTTTATGGTAAATGCGATAAGTCTATCATTAATTCACTATTACTACTAATCATTACATATACTTTTTAAGTAGTACCATTGTAATAATCACAGAAATAAATAACACTCGCGGTATTAAATATTATGTAGTATATCTGGTATAGAAATTCGCAATTAAAAATAAAAAATTATATGAAGAATTGTGGATTTAGAGAAATTTGTTAAATGAAACTAAAATATGAGTGGAAAGATTCAATAAAAAATTAAACTATAAATGTATGTATTTCATAAGTATGGCAAAGGGTTAAATTTTTTTTGTAGTAAACTCAATATTATTAGTACCATATTATTAGTACTAATAATATTGACCTTCCCACGACCTTCCCACGACTTTCAAGGTGTTCATACATAAAATTATTTCTATAAAAATATAAAATTATTTTAGTTCTTTTAAAATAATTCAACATCACTCCAAATCTACATTTGGGGTCAGCTTAGTACCATTATATTTTAGGTATTGTAATTCATATTTATATCAATACGTTGTTATATTAAAAGCACAAAAGTCTTGCCAATTTTTTAATTCTTTCTCATATATCAAATGATATTATCACACCTAAATAATCTTAAAAACAGCCATCTTTGTATAACTCAAACAAATCAAATACGTTCAAAACTCCAAATTAATAGAAACTTCAAATGTGAACGCAACAAAATTGACTCCACCCAAATAATGATGAGTCATCATATTGAAGTTACCATACAAATGTTGGTGTTACCAAATAATGATATAAGAACACAACTCCTTTCTAAATGAAACATTAACCAAAAACAACAATAATAGAACTATCAACATATTTTCATAAAGAACTAAAAAAAAAGAAGTTTGTACAAAAGTTAAACTCCTCCCAAGACCTCAAAAAAAAAAATTATATGAAACTCTGCATAAGCACAAGCTACAAGCTGGAAAGAAAGGGCAAGCATAAAATAAGTTGAAAACCAAAACCCAATTTAAAAACCACGCCTTCAACTTAAATGGGTATAAAAATAAAAATATATGTACATATATACATAATATAAAAATGTGTAAGGAAACAGATTATAAGGAAGAATTCGCATGTACGTACTACTTGATTGTCAAGGCTAACAATAGGCCAGAAACAACCCCTGTTAGATGAGCTAAGTATTTTCAAGAAGACCAAAAAAAAAACAAATATAAATGAAAAAAATCTTCCTATAAAGGAACACAGAAGACGTTAGAAATGATGTATTATAGCGTTTCTTCCAACAAATCGCCTAAGAAATTTTTTACACAACAAAAACAACTACAAATGGAGTTTTTTTTTCAATAGTGATTTTTAGTGCCACTTCATAAAAATAATCAGCATAAATCGGCTGCAGTACTCAGTTCTGTATCTGCACTCTTTAAACTATCCGCTCTATAGAGCGCTACGTACAAGTTCAATCTTGTTACATTGAACAAATTCGAATCACCCAAAGAAAAAATTGCAGGGGAACAATGAACTCTCTGCTTGTTCACGTAATAATTTCATGATTACGTTACTGTACTTTGCTTCCTTGTCGTAACATAGCAACAAGGTGTAATGTCCTCTATGTGTGCAACACAATCCATACTTTATCTCTAGCCACCCTTAAGAACTGTTCTTTCAAGCAAAGTGAGATTTGTTAACCAGCAATTGAAAAAATTGCCTCATACAACGTGAGCGAACACACTTTGTGCACACAATACTAAATGCGAATGAGCGATGTCAACAAAATAACCAAAACAGACCAAAAACACACTCACGTAAAACGCTAGACGTACGGTAGGGGGTTAATTTTGTTAGCCGCACACACAATATTGCCTAACACAATAAGTACGCCGCTCGCTTCGAAGAGAACCAGAACCAAACAAAACAATAAAAATGACAACGAACGCATTTAGTTAAATTGGTGGAAAAGAAAGAGGAGAAGTTGAGTGCGGTCATTGTTAGATATTAGCCAAATATTAGGAAGTGTTTCATTATGCCTGCAAAAGACTACTGAATTGCGTCAAGAGCAACAGAGAAAAGAATATGGAGAGCAAATCGAGAAGCCGTAAAGTTAGGACGCAACAACAAGGCAACAAAGCAGACTGCGTGGAGCACACAAACAATAACAAAACTCAACTACAGACGTCACACAAAGCAGAACGGCGAGAGTGTCAAGTATAAAAGCAGAGCAGAGCACAAAAATAAATCAGTTTATTTTGAATCGTCAAGTGTAAAGAATCCGTTTAGATAAAACGACAACTCCTGAAAAGATTAGTGTACGAGTTTTGTACGCGCTTACTTGAGAAAGAAAAAGAAAGTTACAAATATTTTTATATTGAGTCAGCAAATTACAATAACAAAAACTTAAGACTTATTTGCAAGAACTTGTGAAATAATAAAGTGAAAGTTAACATTAAGTATAAATAATTGACTGTTAACTAAATTGTGAAAAATGGCCGTGGCTTTTTACATACCAGATCAGGCTACTTTACTGCGTAAAGCCAAGCAACAGGAGCAGCAGATACAACGTATGCGTGAAGCCCAGTGGAAATTCATTGCAAGCATCATTTTGGATGCGCTTCAGCAGTGCATCGGTTCCTCGCCTTACTGTGTACTAGGACGCAGCAGCAGCAGTGTGCGAAAGAATTGCAGGGATAAATTGAAGAAGTTCGGAAATTAATGAATTTAATCTTACAATAAACTCCGTTTCCAAAAAGACTTAAAAGTACAAAAATAGTTAAAATAAACAACAACTCTAAATCTTCAACTTCAAAGATTCTCATCAACTACAAGTTACTAAGCTACTAAATACTGTTACCAAGCCATGCAGTTGTATTCCAGATTAATACATTGATCTCCAGTCCGTATATATCGCAAATAAAAATGCCAATTACTCAACTCTTCAAAAGTTCAACGACCTCACAGTTGCCGCCGCTACAGCGCCCACATGACTTACTAATTTGTTTAAAAAAATAAATTTTTTTTTCTTCATTTCACAACAAAATGCAAATTAAATGTTAATTTTAAGATATTTTTGGCAATTGAATTCATTTTTAAACAATTTTGACAAAAAAAAATTTTCATAACTTCTTACTTTTTACTCATCAAAGCGATTGTGATAATGGTTTTGTTTCTATAATAAGCAACAAATAAATTTTTTATAAATGTATTGTAATTATTAAGTTAAACAGAGATTTTGCTAGCAATTTTTTAATAACTTAAATAGCATATAAGTTAATGATAATTAATCATTTTTTATCTGAACAATTTATAAAAAATGTTGACAAAAATTGCATCAATTTTTGTTAAGCATTGAAAATAAAAAACAATAAAAAAAAATTTCAAATGTTTTTTAATTCTTAAACATTTTTTAAAATAATGATATACAATAAAAATTCTTAAATATACTACAGATATAAATATAACATATATAAACCAAAACAGATATATACCAACTTATTTCGGTATCAAATCAAAAGCCTTTCATATTAATTGCTGTTATATATTTTTATTAGTTATATATACTTTATTTCTTTTTTATATATGTTAAATACGTAAAAGCAATCATTTTTCAGAAAAAATATCTTAATAGGTGTATGACTAAATCTTTAATTGGAATATTATTTCATTTATTAAATAATTATTTAAAATATTCAATAATAATTATTATAATTGTATAATTTCTATTTAATAATAATTATTATAGTTGTATAATTTTTATTTAATAATAATTATTCTTAGATAACAATAATAATTATTATAATTATTGAATAATAATAATTATAATTATTGAATAATAATTATTATTATTAATTAATAGTAATTATTATATAGTAAATTTGGATTTTTTTAAAGTCAATTATGACGAAAAAATTATTTTTTTATATTATTATAATTATTGAATAATAATTATTATTATTAGTTAATAGTAATTATTATATAGTAAATTTGGATTTTTTTTAAAATCAATTATGACGAAAGAATTTATTTTGTTAATATAAAATATATTTTAATGAGAAGGTTTTTGAATAGTAGTGAATTATAATAACAAAAGTCCTATAGTTAGTTCAATTTTTGGCTGAACAGAATTAAATTAATTTTTGATATTTAAGGTATCGCAAAATATTCATCATCAGTGGTCTTTTCTTATAATTTCTTTTTGTTACATATTTCTCATATTTATTTTTTATAAATAATTAAATATTTAATTAATGTCAAATAAATTTTTAGACCGCAAGTACCAAAGTTGAACTTTTCCCCTGTCCAATTAAAAGATTAAAAATTATGCATATTTAATATATTAATATTTATTATGTTAATATACTAAATATTTATTACTTTACTATATTTTAAGTTAAATATTTCAGCGTCAAAAATATTATTTATATAGAATGGCTCGAACAGTAATGAAAAACAACAAAGCAAATTTAATTAATTTATTAAAATTTGACTGACCATACAGCATTGTTCCGAGTATTGTCAAGTACTCTACATCAGTGATCTAAGGAAATATTTAAAATTATATTAAATTTGTTTGTAGTCCATATATAACTTATTGACTGCAAGTGCCAACAAAAAAAAAATCCGTCGGTAATCACAGAGATATAATTTGATATTGATAAATGCATGTTTTTTTATTATTATTATATTAGTAACTGATTTTGATATCAACTCAAAAATAAATAATAAATATTATAGTAAATTTTTAGTATGAACAAATATGTTAAAAATGTTTTTAAATATTCCGGGGTTTGTACCGTCGGTAACTAATTTTCGAATATCGTATGAAGAACATTTTAAAGACTATTTCAGAGGCGCTGTTAAAAAAATATATGTGTTTTTATTATGACAGCACCTTGTTTTTCAAATGGACTAATAGGTCGGTGAATTAAACCACAAATTATTATTTTTAAAAAATAAATTTTAAAAATAAATTTGTGTTTCGAACGTTACTAACGAATACAGTCAATATATCTGTAATTTATATTATTAAAAATATTATTAAAAATAAAAATTAGTTTTTTCATTAACTTACAAACTAGACTGTCTTACAATTAATATGTCTATTTTATATAGAAGTTTTCATTTAAAATATAGAGTGTTCTGTTTCAAAATTTTTTTAGATTTATTCTTCAATGAATAAAATACCGGCGGCATTTATGTATCTGCGGCATTTAAAAAAAATAAAAATATGTTGACAACTTCAATATGTACAAAAGTTTCCAAATGTATAATATTTATTTTTGTTAAATTTTTAAAAATTTTTTACCAAAAATTTTAAATACCCACGGCATATGTAATATCAGCGTCTTTTAAAGAAATTATCTTAAAATTTTAAACAAATTCGGAATAATTCCTTTTAGAGACAATACGGTTTAACTTTAGTTTAAATTCAGTTCCTAGACCTAACAGATAAGAAGCTTTGATAAAATTCTAAATTATAGATTTTGAATAGAGATATTTACATAGTAAAAGAAATTTATTACAAGCAATTGCTTTGAATGACATTTTAATATCCTTCTATTAAAAACGTAAATTGGAAAAAAATTTTATATATAAAGAATTATTATAATTTTGATTTTACGTTATATTAATGAGATAAATTATATTATGTTTTTAGTGAAACCTGATGGTGTGACAGTCATTGGAAACTTTCATTTTATTTGTTATCTCTATGGGTGCATAGCTTTCGATCGAACTTGCTGAATAATGGATAAGCACGAAATAATACTAAATTATTATTAAAAAATTTTTTTTAGAAAAATATGGTGCAAATGTTGAACTCTTCCTTATGTCTCACATTGCTTTTTGATTTCCAATAGGTTGATCACTTGTTATCTCCTGAAAAATGTTCCTTCCCTACTATTAATTTTGTTGTGGATCACTATTTTACGCTACATTTGAACTAAAATCTTTACATAAGATTTACATTAAATTAATAAATAATTTTAAAAAATTAGTTAATTATAATGATCAAAAAATTATTTCATTATAGAGTTGTTCTGTGGGCTTCCAAGTCAATATTGTTTTGATTTTAAAACAAAACATTTTGGTAATATTTATTTTTAATTTTTTTTTTAACTTAATCACATGTTCAATATAAAGTTAGTGATGAATTATAGACTACTTAGACTAAATCTAAATAATGTGAATAATTAAGTTAATAATATATTATTATACATATATTATTAATTATTATTAATATATTATTATATATATCTTTGTATAGTATTTGTTTGTGTGCTATAAGTTGTAATCTATTGATTTATACCCAGTATTAAAGTATGCTGAAGAGTTTTTACAGATAGTTTTTCTAATACTGTTTCAAATGACTGATTAAAGAACTAAATATGTTCAGTATGAATTAATGACGCGATCTACCATATTGTTTGCTTGGTAAAACTGATTAAACTAGTTCAGTTTCATTGTTAAGTTTCATAATTTTCAATTCTCGAAAATTAAACTTCTTTTTCTGCAATTGGTTAGTTATACATAATGATTCAGAGAACTATTTAATTATTTTGGTTAGTACGTCATACATACATTTTATTTCTTCTAGGTCACATTTTTTAAAAGGGGATTTACATGTATTCAGTTTTTGGTTAAAAGATGTCAGCTTACATTTGTGTAGTGAAGTGGAAAGGTACATTTCTGCTTTATAAAGTATAGAAATGACTCCAAAGCGGAAACAAATTTTCATGGAACAAAATTTAGACTTTTTAAAACGTTTTACATTTGGAGAGAAACCTGTTGGCATTGGGCGATATCGCAGTTAGTTCCAATTCCTGTAAGAACAATTTGTAATTTTAATGCGGATAAGATAAAGAACTATGGAAAAACTATCACGGATTTGCAGGTCAAACAAGTTACAAAAATAGAAGTTCGTTATTTGCAATAATAAAGTCCCTTCTATCCATTTGGATAGAAAATCTGAATCAGAATTAATATAAAAAAATGAAAATAATTTTATTTAATTTGTTTGTAGTCCATATATCATTTGTTGGACTGCAAGTGCCAACAATAAAAAAAAAATAAAATCCGTCGGTAATCACAGAGAATAGAATTTGATATTTATAAATGCAAGTTTTTTTATTATTATTAATTTAGTAACTGATTTTGATATCAATTCAAAAATAAACAATAAATATTATAGTGAGGTTTTTTCGAACAGTAGTGAACTACAACAACAAAAAATTTATTACTTTTTATATTATTTTAATTAATTGAATTTTTGGCTGTCCATACAGCTGTTTCGAGTATTGCCAAATATCCATCATCAGTGATCTTTAAAATAATTCTTGTATTTAATTGTTCGAAAATAATTATTTTTGAGACTGCAAGTACCAGGAATCGAACTCGGGTCCTGCCAAATGTGAAGCTCAGAATCAGCTGAGAACTCAGAATCTATAAATATTATAGTAAATAGTACAGAATTAATATAAAAAAATCAAAATAATTTTTATTGAATTCTTTGTCCGCTCAGAAGCGCTAAAAATATTTATTATAGATTATGTTATATCGGGTAATACGTGTAATATATGTATATGTTAAAAATAAGTATATTTATACTATGCGGAATAATTGGAATTCAAAACAAAGCTTTTGTGGATATAAAAGAAATTTTTTTGTAGTTGTTTTTGTTGTCGGCTTTTATTGTGGAATATATTTCTTTAATACAATAATGGATTTTTCAGATTCCGTGATAAAATTAATTAATATCAGATAAGTATTCTATATGGTATGCTTTAAATTTGTTTACAGTTTATAAGACAATATTAAATTTTAAAATTCAATCTGTTATTAAATTTTATTACAGTCATTTAACAACATAATCATATAAACTAAACTGTTAGAGAGTTTAGTAATCATATTGAATCTAACATTATAATTAAAAAAGTGCTAAAAACATAGTCGTAAAGTCACGTCAACTTTGTTTAAAACAAATGTAGTAATTGTCGAAAAAAAGCACTGCAATCAAGTCATTGAAGCATTCGAAAACTTTTATCTGAAACGTTAATTAGTTTTGTTCCCAAAGCGAGCAGACATCCACAAAAGAGGAAACATACATAGTGCGGGGCAAATATGGAAGATTTGTAAAAATTTTTGATTTTCAATAATTTTTGCAAAAAGTTTTTTGAAGCAAACTTTTTGAATTGCATACTTAAAACACTTGCCAAAAGCAGAAAAAGTGA